AGTTATTGACCTTTTCATAAACGGTCTATAGGTCAGAGATTTTATTTAGGAACTTGTTGGATTTTTGGGCTATTTATAAGGAACCATCCAATCGAAATTCAGAATCGGTCATCAGTTTTAGTCGGAGTCATATTACACCTGTCAATGAAACCTTGAACTTTGGGAGTTTGATGTTATTTTTACACCACAAGTGTATAAGTTTACGGATCTTTACATCACACCATACACAACATACACTGGCGGCACACACTGACTTTGTCAAACATATTCGGTCTTAATTATCCCAGTCGGAGCAGAACAGTAGGACGTTTAACCCCATTTCATTTCATTTCATTTGTCAAACATTTGAATATATGATATCCAAATATGTGGAGTTAGTGCATTAGGACGCCATAGGGCCAGAATGTGTGCTTAGTAAGTAGCACTAAAACAGGTTTTCTTACTACATTGTACTTCCTTACCATTGTTGTAGGGGATCGCGTGGCTAAGTGGGTAAGACGCTGGCTCGCTAGCCTGGAGGTTGGGTGTTCGATCCCTGCATTGGCTGAGAAAGTTCATCCAGATTTTCCGGCGTGGTTCCCCCCTTGTCAGTGTTGCAGGACGGGGGCCTGACAATGCCACCTTTTTGTCGTTCGGTATGACGAAAAACCGAGGTCCCGTGTATACATTGGCGTGCACGTAAAAGATCCCTTGACAGTTGGAATTCGATATAAGAGTAGGCCGTAGTGCCACTGTCCGGGCGAAATTTTCCTGATAGCACACTGTATGGCGTATGCCCGTCTTCATTAGCCCAGTTCGGAGCCCAACAGTAGGACGTTAAACCCCATTTCATTTCATTTCATTTTTTTACCATTGTTGTAATAGTCCGACACTGTGAAATAAGGTTTAAGTGATTTTCCATCTGAGGATGTTGCCATTATGTACAATAAACCGAACTTTAATCAATCCAACGCTTAAGAAACCCCAGAATATAGAATTATGGTGGAATGTTCTTGTTCCTTAAATTAGCAGCATCACCTTGGATTTGGTATAAAAAAAAAAATTAAATTGGATACCAAATTGGGGTTGTAAACTAGTTATTGTTTCTGGGTCTTTTTGTTTGACTTTTATGTTTGGTTTTGTTGCTTTCTTTCTTTTATTTCGGTTATGTCTAAGCATTTTCTCAATGTAAGGATGCAGAGATGTTTTAATGTATTTATGTAGAAATGCAGAAAGAGTCTGTAATGATACCTATGTTACTGGTCAAACACTAACCTGTATTTGGCAGCGTGGTGGGTCCAATGGATTTCTAAATTTTCTAACCTATGAAATCAGAGTGCACACTACAACGGAAATTGGAAATGCTACGAGTGACACCACTATTGTCAACCCAAATAAATATCGTAAGTCGGCCCATTTCTGTTTTTATTGTTGTTTTCATGTTGTTTGTTTTATTTTGATTGTTGTTTCAGATAAAATAGTATAATTCTTTTTGTGTGTATCTAAATTTAAAACTAGTTCAGTGCACCACTATCTGTGTGCTTCTATCCAAGAATCAATAAAACGTCTCGAAATGGTGTAATGTCATTTATTAATTAAAAAAAACAACAAATAAATGACTTTAACAAAATTACAGTAAAAACATTAGTAAATATGAACATTTAAATCAGCAATAGTTAAAATACATTAATCATGTTGCGATAAATCAGAGGCCCCATTTACGCCAAACGCACCCGAAGCTGGCACACAGCACATAGGATATGGTGTAATGCCATTTATTAATACAAAACCAAAAAAATGACTGTAACAAAATTTTACAGTAAAAACATTAATCAATATGAACATTTAAATCAGCAATAATTAAAATACATTAATCATGTTGCGATAAATCAGAGCCCCCATTTACGCCAGACGCACTCGAAGCTGGCACACAGCACATAGGATTACTAGCCCTACACAGGATTCTGCCAGTCAATAAATATTGGAAAACGATTAGTTGGGAAGTTACACACATCTTAACGACCCATTTCTCTTTTTCAGTGAAACCTCCAGCTATAACCACATTAGAAGCAGCCAGTTTCTTCAATTTTTCAGTATTAATACAATGGAAAAGACCATCCAAACTAGCTTGTCTAGTTGTACCATTACAGTATAATGTAACTATTATTGGTGATAATGGCGATAGGCACCAAGCCGAACAAGTAAAAACGTATTATTAGAATTATTAGGGAATGTTTTTAAAGACTTGATTCGCACTTAAAACTTCTGGTCAACTTTGCCGACGTCAAAAATTGTTACATGTCCTAAATTGTTGTCATCATCTGGTAATTATTTTGAATGCAAAAACCCTGCAACAAAAGCTGAAAAGGGTGCTTAGAGGAGATGACTTAGTACGTCTTCAATAGCGTCGACATGAGAAGAATTTAATATCACAATATCTATTCGTGTTTGTGTGTTTCTTGTGAATTAGACGATTCCAGAGTCTTAAACAGCTACAGCTGGTTGAGGAGGTGACGGTTACGCCTGGGAACTCACAAACTGAGAAGGGCAGCTGGAGTTTTACAGCCTCTGATGGGGGTACAGGAAGTGGGGGGGGACGCATCTGACAATTACAATGCTATAGATGCATACAATTGGATCAACCCACTGTTTACGGCCTGGGTTCTACATTCTGCACATGCACAAACTAATTATTTGTTTTCTATTACAGATGACTGATAACTGTAAGTCCAATCTGACGACAATTGTAGGTAATTTAGTACCCCATTCTAACTACACCATATTAATAACATCCAAACCAAAAGATTCTGGTTATTGGAGTGACGTTTTCTCCACCATCATACAGACTCCAACTTCAGGTACATATTGTTTTTCTGATACAGAACAGAATATAAGAAAACCCTGTACCCAAATCGGCAACTATACAGATTATAGATTGGGTGTCATTTTGAATCATGGTGCTTGCAGGAAAAATATTGTTTATTGGAACATTCGATGTTCTCTCAGTTTATTCAATCAATAGGCCAATTTAAATTTCCCAATGTGTTTGCTACCATACTTAATAAAGATCGTTATTACAGTAAAATAGTACACATTTTTTACTTTTGATATACATACATTTGAATGAGTTTGTTGGATATATATTATGTTGTCTTTTTTTAAATTTGCTAGTACCAAGATCATCACCTAGGATAAGTAATAGTTATTATAGCCAGCATGAATTTGATGACAAATATAGACATGTAGTTATATACTGGAAGGTGAGTGTCTGGGATTTATTGAATATAGTACTTTTAGATTTGACCATTTGTTGAATGTAAATTTTAAAGCAAAAACAATCCTGTAATAAAACCAAGTACTCACCCCTGGAGGTAACGCCAGATGGTTTGATTTTTAAATATGTGTCTTGTGGTTCGGATAGTACTAAACCCTTGAGGATAACGCCGACACAGTGAGTGAGACGTTGGCTAGCTAACCTGGGGGTGTCATGTTCGATCACTGAGTAGTCAGAGAAAGTTCATCGGGATTTCCCGGCGTGATGTAGGACGTAGAATCTGGCGAGGGGCAATATATAGTTGTTCGGATTGGATGGAAGACCGAAGTTCCGTGTACACATTGGCGTGCACGTAAAAGAACCCTTGACAGTTAGAATTCGATATAAGAGCACGCTGTAGCCCAGTCGGAGCAGAATAGAACAATGTCAGATCCCATTTCATTTCATTTGAGGATAACACATGATGCATCTGTGGTTTGTGTTATACGATCGATAGTCTGGTCAAATCGTCCTGTTAGTATAGTTAGTATAAAATCCTCCTAGGAGGAAGTGTGTGTCTTGTTGTACTAAATCCTTTGGCGTAACTCTCAATAGCATGACAAGGGTGTGTCTACTATAGTCGTGATAGTACTAAATCCACCGGAGTAACGCCTGATGTCTGATAAATACATTAGGTTCCGTGTACGTTAGTGCTCCCTGGCAGTTGGCATTCAAACATACATAGGCCTAGTCTGGAACGCTGCTGACCGGGAAATGGTCTCCATCCTGACCCTGCAGAATAGTCCGTCAAGGGCGGATCTAGTAAGGGATGCACCCGCCCCCCCCCCCTTCCTATTTGGATCCATGGTGCGCACTTTAGAACCGGATTCTTGTCTCAGATCACTGGAAATGGCATTTCCGGGCTTCTAGTTTACAAAATTTTCCAGGGGAGGTCACCAGGACCCCCTGTTGTAAGCTTTGTGCCGAAGGTGCACTCAGCGTGCGGCCTAGCCGCCCTTGCACCCCTATCTATAGTCTCTAGATCCGTCCTTGTCCGTTTCCAGAAAAGCGAGAGTTCCGTTCAGGTAAAAGATCACATGTCAGATGTAATTCGAATGTGAGTATAAGCTGAAGCATAACTGACCTGGCAGAATTCTTTTCTCTTGTCTCGCAAATGTATATAAAATGACCATCAAGTTGTTTAGCACTGTAGTTTGTCCCTTTTCTGATCACAACAGCCACATTACAACGATACCACATAAGTCATACACATTGCTAAATGAGCCATTTTTTAAAGCGATAATTTCATATTTTTAAGTTATATTTTTAAAATGTATTAAAATAAAGCCTTAAAATAGATGGTATCTATAAAAAGTCCTACCTTGTTAAAGAATAATCCTATTAATCCTATAATTCACTATTGCCAATTGAGAAATTGGCAAAAATATCATTTTCAACTTCAAATTCAAACGTTTGAAAATAGCTATTCCATGGGGGGAATAGAAAAAACAAGGGGGGTACTTGTGTTATTATTTCCAGGGTGAATGATTTTTAAGTGTGAGAATGATACCTATGATCGTATAATAGTGAGTTGACAACCTATTGAGCAAAAGACATAGAAATAATTATGTTTTGACTTTCTTAGAAAATATGAAATTCTCGCTTTAAGTAGTGTTCAACGTTGTTACATTTAGCCATACAATAAGACAGAAAAGGGTGGAGAAATCAACTTTTATAGAATTGCTCTACAAACATCGTCAGAATCCGATGTAACTGACTATTTGTCGCAAGATGTTGCAGGAACAGCCAAGTCTGTGTTGTTAAATCATAAACTACGATCTGATTACCAATACAAAATCTTTCTACAAGCACAAACTAGTGCTGGTTTATCACAAGCATCCACTTTACTTATACCTCAACTATATAAAAGTAAGTCGTTTTAAAATGACTGTTTTTACCCGAAAGCTATCACGTAGTACCCAATTATAGGGGTTTTATCTGTGTGACGTAAATATATGTTTCAACTTCAGAGCGATGTTAGAATCTCCACCAATGTTTTTCTTACACTGTTCCTGGGCTAACCCTAACGTTCACTGTATAGAGAGGTGGACAAATTATAAAGCCTAGACACAGATTTTTTGCCACTGGCCACGAGGCTGATAAGGAGAATTTACCTAGTCGTTTGGATGGGTTGTAAAATATGGGAGGTCCAGCTGTGTACTCATTTGCGGTTCTTCTTCCCTTAAAGACTCGGGTTCCAATTGGAACGTAGTTGAATCTGGTTCAGAATCAAAGAAGAGTTGCCAGACATGCAACTGCAGCAAATTTCTTGTACGTTGAATGGCACTTGAAAGCTCGAAATAATAATTACCACATTATGTTGACGAGACATTATACCCCATTCCATTCAATTACCTCAACCGTGTTAAAGATTTCACATAGCTAAACATAGGGCCTACTGCCCTCCCCGTCGCCACCCCATCTGGAAGGAATTACATGTTATATCGATCTCTGTGACGATGAATAAAATTGTCTGTAGGTAGCGCACATATGATCTGTCGGTCTTTTTAATTTACGGCAGACCAATGGTCATCGATGTTGATGCAATATCACCGACAATTAATTCATAGTGTACAAGTCTTAATATAGGTGTGAACATATGCAACTTCTAATCATGACTCAGTTTTCAAAGAAGAGTACGGGTAATGAACTGATTTGAACAAATTTATTTTTCACTAAGGTTTGGTAAAGGCTACGATGGTAATAGCTGAAAAAATTAATGTAACAGACTACCTAATATCTTGGAAACAAGATAACAATACTCTAGGTCAAACAAATTTAGTTAAACTACATTACTGTTATGGAAATGTCTTCGAGGGATCCAAAATAGTGAATTGCAAGGTGAGCAAATTAATCTTCAAAACGTATTTTTATATCCCGAGCCAGGCTATTAGTAAGAATACATTTTTGTGCATTGGGGACTGACGAAAATTTATTTTAGATCACACACTATAGACCCTACCAGTCTCAGATTTCAAAAACTTTGTCACTTGTAGTGTTTCACGACTTGTGCAAGTAAAGTGTTTAATCAGTATCTAGACTATGGCACAGTGTACAAAAGGGGGCTTAGAGGGCGCACATTCTTTTAAATTACTCAAATTGAAGCAAGAATAACATTTTTAACTTGATCAAAGAAACGCAAAAGAATGGGGGCCTTGAATGTTGCTAACAGTTGTCGCTTCGTCTTTTGGTACTAATACTGGTTTCATTTAGAACTTTACTTGTTTTGTGAAAATTGCGTTTTAAACATTATACATGTGTGTATCTATATATAGACAGGATTAACAGATATCATAATACCTGATGATGAACACCAATATAGATTAAGATTAAAGACCAAACCTAATTCTCTCTGTGAAGATTGTCGTTGGCAGTTTTCTGTATCCATAGAAACTAAGTCCATAAACAGTGGTATGATATGGTCAAAATGTACATATTTATATAATGGAGGTATGTGAAAACGGCCTGATATAATAATCACGCCGACTTTGGGTTGGAAGACAAGTCCATAGATACATGTTCTTTCATAAATCATAATAATAGTTTGTGTCAATGTATTAGAAACGAACACAATTTTGTGTATATTAGTTTTTACACAAGTCCTTTTATGTTGGAAACTATCTTTGAGGTACACTACTTAACACGTCCTCAAAAAATACTTACACAAAATGGTTTTCACCAATACATGCATCAAGCTTAAGTGAAGCCATGAATGATTCTCCATAGTAATTTTTGAGAATACGAACAAAGTCATGAATTTAATAAATACATACGATATAAAAACTACATAATTTAATATTCAGATGTCGACAGGAAAAAACAAACGTTTTAGACTTACAGATTGATGGAGGCAGATTGTCAATCGTAGGGCATCCTCCTTGTGTGGATGGGAACAATGATTGGGTCTATATTTTAGGATCTAAACATCATTGATTTCAGTCAAAATAAAGAATTAAATTGGGATGAGCTGATGTGATATTTCGGTTATTATTATCAGACTATCTCTCAATGGTCGAATTCAATAATCAACATCAGTAAAACAAAATGTAACAATTATTATTGTATTTGTATCTGAATATGTATTGGCGAAGGGTATCTGAAAGGCTGGAGAATTTTGGCAAATAAATACATAATTTAAAGGGCATTTAGTGATAATATTCACCAAGTTTATAAACTGCAATGTTTCGATGTAAACTGTTAATAAACTTAGTGAATGTTATCTATAAAACTATCTGTATTATTAAATACAAAAACTGCGCGAAATAGTGTGCGATGCTGTAGAAGCATATTGCTGCTGTATGTACTATTTATGATATAGACAGGGATAACATATATTCCACAAAATGTTCGCGGCTAGAATACTTATATTTTTATGATCTTAAATGTGTGCTTGTTTTATTTTTCAGATTCAGCTTCACCGGGATTTGACTCAACTGTTATCGGTCGAACAAGTATAAAGTTAACCTGGACAACCAAATGTAACTTAGATGCAAGATCAGCCAGGCCAATGATGTACCAATTGGTTTATTTTTTCAGTTCAGAACAACACTGTGATAATGGTATTTTAAACAATTTTTGAATTTACAATATTTTTGGAAATTAAGGAAATACAGAATAAGCCCCGGTCCCAGTGACGTCAATAGAATATTTTCCTCTAAAAATCCTGTTAACTAATAATTGTGCCCTCATCTCTTTTTTTCAAGATTCATATTCTTCAAGTTATTCGTATATAGACTATTCACAAAGACATCCTTGTACAAGTATTAAACTATTCACAAAGACATCCTTGTACAAGTATTAAACAAAGTCAAATTCGTTATAGACTTTTAAGAAAAGTATATACAGTAGAACTTGCTCCGGCGTGCACTCCTAATCAGCGAACACTTGCTTCAACGAGCACCCAAAAATCCCCCCCCCCCCCGAGCGATTTTTAAGTAATTTAACCTCTACTAAACACGCACCTGTTCAACGCGTGCAAAGGGCATCACGATTAATTCCCCCCGTAAAAATTCTACTGTTTCAACGGTCACTCCTCTAACGCGGCCAGCGGTCACTATTTTACTAATAAATTCAACAAAACATCGCCCATTCAACGGCCATTGTTGAATGATACCATCTTGTCGTTCTTTCTTTGTAACTCTCCCGCTAATCCCATGAGTAGTAGTTAATTAACTGGACCCCACTGATCAGGTAAAAAGAAATGTAAAAATAACAATCAACCCGGGATTATCTGTTAATTAATCTTTTGTTTTATTAAACGACTAACCTGATCATTGTTTTCACGCGTAACAACACATTATTTGATACTGATTGAATAAAATGAAAGTACCGAGTTTTGTCACAATCATCTAGTATCTCTTTTCCATTGCCACTTTGTTGTTAAACAGACGTTTTGGCGCCCCCTATAATATTACATACAGAGTTACATCCCCTGTAAATCAGTGATAAAATCAGCGATGGTTTTTTGTTCATGTGCTTTTTTTGATAAAATAAAATTAATCCATCGATTTTCTTCTCAAAAATGGATAAATATTATCGAATGCATCACAATGGTAGACAGTAGTATCGAAGGTTGCTACAAAATGACAAGTTTACAGAAGTTATGTTCGAGATTTGAGTAAAGAATTTTCGTTCGGCGCAAGATTCAGCGACGGTCAAATTTATCGATGCAAGTATTAATGTTCGCTGCCAATGCACCCAAGCGTAATTAATTTATGTCAGCACAAAAAGCACCAAGATTTTATTAAGTGGTTGGTTATCGCTAAAATAGTGGGGATGGGAAATACTCAAATTCACGGCATTTTGAAACGCTTTTAGACGCTATGATTCAGTATGATAAAAGTAAAAGAAATATTGGGGGGCCAGAGATCCAGTATTACTAAACAAACATGTATACGCGACTACTTTGAATTCACAACTAGATGTATTGTTATTGTTGTACTACATGAATAAAAACATATATGCAATCTATATCTTTATTTTTTGTGGTAGGGGTTGGGGCAATATAAGATACCTCTAGTCAAAGAGCACCTCCATTAAGCAAACATTTTTAAATTTCCCTTTGGTGCTTGCTTAATACAAGTTCTACTGTAATAAAGTTTGTGTATAGACTATTAAGGCAGACAGATATTCGAAAGTACCAATAAAGACAGATATTCCTTTGAAGATTATTTTCAATAACAAAGATTATCGATATACTGGAAAATAGTACACTGGTTATTAGTAATTTATTTTATATACCCGCACTAATCCATTGATCTCTTATTTTTATATACTCGAATTTATTCTTAAACTTATTGGCTTAGCCTTGGTCCAATTGGCCATTTTTGGTCACTTGATGATGTGAGGTTTAGGGCGAGTATATTTTCAATTGTAGGAAGTATATTAAATATAACAGCTGATCAAGACAAATATGAACAGATGTTGGAAAATCTATCACCAACTACTCTTTATTATGTCTGTATTAGAAGTTTATCCAGAGAAGGCTCTTATAACGACTGGATAGTTGAAAATTTCACGACTAGTTCTAAAGGTAAGATCAGGTTAATATACCATGTTTCATAAAAGAAAATATCCGCATAAATATGAATAGTGGAGTGTTTACGGAAATTAAATGAAATATGGTTTAACTTCCTACTGTTCTGCTTTGGCTGGGTTAATGAAGACGGGGAGTGTTTACAAGTTTCCCACGACGAGACCAGTAACATAATTAATTTAAAACTCTGAAATTTAACAGTGCTTCTCTTTATGATGCCCTGTAAATTTCTCAAAAAAATTCTGGACAGCCGACCCTACTCCTTGTCACGTACATGCGGGGAATCAAAACCATACCACTTTACTCAATGACAGACCTTCTTATTCAATCCGCATGCGTTAACCATTCGGCCACCCAACACCCCGCTCACAGTTCTGCTTCCCGGGACCTGATCTGAGCCCTCACTATGCTCATGGGCTGCCAATGGCCTTCCTGTGCTCCTAATGGTCGAACTATGTCATGCATAAGAATTGTAGTGCACTGTAGGTGGATGTGTGGCCTAGCATGACCCATTACCCACCTAGTGTTCCCCACAATTTAATACGTGGCCTAGCGTGACCCCTGCCCACCTTCTGTTCCCCACAATTTTTATGCTTGACCCTAGAGTTTCCACAATGCTTATGCGTGGCCAACTGGGGGTAAGTGTCAGGGGATGGTTGTTAGGAGGTAATTGTTCACAGGTAATTGTCCTAGAACCACTTCCCCGGACCTCAGTGGAGTTGATGGGTCCCAACAGGTGTTTTATTGTTCAGTGTGCTCAACCTGTGATCCATGCAAGTGAGCATATGAGCACATAAAAGCCATTGGCAGCCCATCAGCACAATGGGGGCTCAGATCGATTCTCAGGAAGCCCTACTGGGACCTGGCACAAAAGCGGGGTCTGGGAAGGCTTGGAGCCCGGGAACCCAATGAGATCCCTAATTTTCCAGTGTTTTGGTATTGAGGGTATATTTGGTAACTAGTGTTGTTTTTTCAGTATTTATTGTCTTTTTGGTATTTAGGGTTTTTCAGATTTTTTTTCGTTGATTAGTATCAAACAATTTTTATTCGGTCTTTTTTCAGCATTTTTAGGGTAATTTATGTACTTTTCGGATTTGTTTCGGTATTTTTCGGTGTTTAGTATTGCCCCGATTTTTCGACTACAAGATCATAAATTGCATTCTATTAAAAATATAGGTTCAATTTATACCAATATTTTCAGAAACACCGTCTAAACAGGATGTGACTGTAATTATAGGTGTCATTATAGGTGTAACGTTAGTTGTTGTAATTTGCTGGTAAGTCAGACTTTCCAATTTATTAATTTGTATATTTTATTTTTTAATGGGTTCGAATGATGTCACAATCTGAGTAATTTCATTTACTTTTTCTGATTGTACACTGCATAGTAATCTAACCACCTTGCTATCATCGCCATTATATATCTCATTTATTGTATACCATTCTTATATCAGTCGTTCAGATGAGAGAAAGAGAAATGGGGTTTAACGTCCACTCAACACAAACTAGGCCATTTCTGGACTTACATACGGTTCAATTTTATTTCAACAATTTGCTTGCGCGTAGTAGGCGACCCTACTCCATGTCACATACAACTGGGGACTCGAAACAAGCCAGTTGACTTAATGACAGACCGTGCTAACATCAATACAGCCAAAAACATATTAGGGTTATAATTATTATTATACGCAATTATGTCGTCACCCTATCCATCGGCACGTCGGTCCATCCGTCAACACCTCTTGGGTTTTCTCCGGGTCCTCATGTTTCCTCCCACTGCTAAAGACCCCTACGCGCAAGCGAATTATTGAAATAAAAAATCGAACCATGTGTTAGTCCCGAAATGACCTAGTTTGTGTTGAGTGGACGT